TTTTTTTTTTTTCAATATCATACAGTTTAAAGTGTGTTCGATAAACACCATAAAATAGATTATAGCTTATGTGGTTAGCTTATAAGTTTTATGTTCTCAAATAAGCTTGGTTTGGTATGACAAACTTTTTTAGAAAGCTCGACCTTATCTCTTCCTGCTTTTTAAATAAGTCCGTTGAAATTTTTATTTTAGCTAACTGGCTTATCAGATAATTTAGCAAACACTTTTATCATATCAAGTAGCTTTTTAGTTATACGCTATCAGCTGGGTTTACCAAGCATAGCCTTAATCTTTCAAATAGGAAAGTAATTCGTGACTTTTACATTCTACCTTTTTGCAACCAACACTAGACCTTTCTATATTTGGAGCATCAATGGCTGGGGCATGCGTCGGTTTTCTTTCCCATAACCGATACAAAGCGTCTATATTTATGGGGGATACGGGAGCTTTGGCTTTAGGCGGGGCACTTGCTGCCATGGCCTCCTGCACGGGGACGTTTTTGCCGTTGTTCATTTCATCAGGAATAATTTTCTTGGAAGCATTATCGGTTATCATGCAGGTATTTGAATGATTGATCGCACAAATTTATTTATATATTTGTGACCCTTGTCATATTCAAAATCAAACCCATATTTTTTTAGGCATTATTCTTCAAGGCAACCAAATACTTTGGGTTAAGGGGCTGCAGGTTGTTCGGAACGACACCCTTACATCAGCATCTCGAGTTATGTGGAATTAAAGAACCTACAATTGTTGCGGGTTCATATTTTATTGCAAGCATGTTGAGTTTATGTGGTGCATACGTAGGTCTTAGGTCAGTTTAACGGCCTGCAAGCTACTTTTTGAAGGACAAAAATAGACGTTCCATGTTCTCGTTTGAAATGTCGACTTTCTTTTATTTCTTTATTTCTCTTTATTTTATTTTATTTTATTTTCTTCCCTTAAAGAGTTATGATTTCAATTCACATTAGGTTAAAATGAAGTATTCTTGTATAGATAGGCAACTAATTTTGGTCAATATTTTGGGACTATTGGAGCGTCTACTTTGGTTGATCATAATTTCATAATTCTTCTTCTTCTTTTGAATGCTGCTATAAGAGATTCATATCCGTGATTTGGAGCATGCATGGAAAACCAAGAATCATATGCAAATCAATATTACATAAGCTACTAATTTTTGTATATTCATGGTTCGCAAAGTCTCGGCTGCAACAAAATATAACGGTTGGTCTTGGATTAGATTGACTTGACGTACTTTTTCTTTTATAAATACACATACTTATATTAGAAAACGCCATACCTTTAAAAATAAGATAAATAAAAGTATGACATTTGATAATATAAGCATACATATTTGTTCACGTAGTATGACGAGTCAACATGCTCACGGTTAGGTGGTCTTGTACAATGGTTTGTGAAAATATAATTGCAGTATGTCTATCTGGTTTTAGCCGTGGATATTCTAACTTGGCTGTATTCCCAATTCAATTCCATGTCCATCTATCAATTAAATATTTGGGGAGAGCAAAATGAAGTCGCATCGTCGTGCAACTTGGTGTGGTTCGATTTTTCGTAATGTAGAGAGTTATCAATTCAATTTCGGTTTCATTTTTCTGTATATATATATTGTTGCGCATTTCAAATATTTTTTCATAAGTTCGATTGTTTTTTCTTTTAGTTATGAGCATGCATTTACATGAACTAAACCCAGTACATGAAAAAAGCATAACTAAGTATGCAATTTATCGCGGTTCAATTCAGTTATTTCTAGTGTAGAAATGTTTCGGTGATATTTTCATTCACTTTTTTTTTTTGTGTGTTGCAGTTCGGCTTGATTCTAAAATTTTATGATTTCGCTTTTCTGGGTGGGGTTTGATTTCTATGTGGTTTTACACTGAATCGCACCGGCGTTGACCCATTCAAGTCATGTAAGTGTAAACGAGCTCGAGCTCAGTTCGTTTATCAATATTAACAAGCCAAACTCGAGTTTTAACGAACCAAAAATAAGTCAAACTATAGAAAAATACATAAAAATCATCTTTATCAATCTTATCTAGACGAGAGCTCAACTAGTTAATTAAATAAGATTTAAATGAACTCGATTCAATTTAGTAACAAGGGATCAAGAAATATGCAGCGGATGAAAAGAAAAAACAATTAAAAAAGGCCAACCCACATAAAATATTTAAAACACCCTTTGAAGGCTCAACGATCGGCTTATGCCATTTTGAGGTATATAGTAGCCCGTAATACAACAGGCCCAAGTAGCAACACTTTATGAACGCCCAGGCCCATTATTGTGGGCTAGGGCTGTCTTGTTTCCACCCTCAGAGTCCAGATAACAAAACACGCACATACACCACCCTCCCCAACAGCGAGAGAGAGAGAGAGAGAGAGAGAGAGAGAGATTGTCGGAAATGGTGGCTTACAGGGTGTGTCCGGCGAATTTCTTTATCTATCGATCGCTATCCTTATCTGTACATTGATTGTGCCTAAATGACCTTTTTCACTGCTGGGTTGTGATGAATTGTGGTTTGTACCTTGTGCAGTTCCATCAGTACCAGGTGGTGGGGAGAGCCCTGCCGACGGAGACGGAGGAGCACCCGAAGATCTACCGGATGAAGCTCTGGGCCACCAACGAAGTCCGCGCAAAATCTAAGTTTTGGTATGATCCAATCCCAACTCATATGCTTGTGATTCGTGTCCTCGTGAGCTTCTTTTTGATCTGTGTGGAGAGTTTTTAAGTTAATTTTTCTGTTGCGGAGTAAAGATAACAAGATCAAATCGTTTTGATGCATGATTTGACCAATTTTTGAATGAATGTAAAATGGGATAGTATATAGTGACACGAGATGTTGTAATGCTTGAGATCCTTTGAAATGGCTATAGTAAGTTTAGATGATTGCTTGGTGTTTAGGCATGTTGCTGAATTTTACCTTACATTCTTGTCATCAATGGATCGAAATCACATTTCATCAGAATTGAAATGAGAAACAGTGCGTTTGCTTCGGAAAGTGGGAGTAAGATGTATGAGTGAATTCTTTTACTGTGGGACTCATTTGATGATTCTCAACTTTAGGTACTTTTTGAGGAAGCTTAAGAAGGTGAAAAAGAGCAATGGTCAGGTTCTTGCTATCAATGAGGTATGATCTCTTGCATATTCTCTGATGATGTTATGAGTTTTAAGCTTCCAGATCAATGCATGATGCCATAGGATTGCTTATTCTATTATATGCTCTTTATTGTGGTGTGTTCAAACAACATTTTAAGTGTACATGTGCTAGGAGTTATGTTGCTCTTTGTTCTGTGATCAATGAAATGTTCGTCTTGCATTGCGCTCAATACATATCTTCTTGTCACTTTATCTTGTGAATGAAAATGAATTCATATTTTTGGCACTTCTAGTATGGCTGTACTCCTTTCAACTAAGTTTCTTTTGCTGTTGGTATACTTTGCTGTTCTGAATTTTTTCACCACATCACCTCCTAATTTGGATGCCTTCATTTGTATTCATGGTTTTTCCACTATTCTCCCATAAGCCATTTGGATGGACATCCTTAATTTCTAAGATTGTAACCTTTTATATTGTCCATTGGGTGGGATCTTGAAATCCAAGTACTTTTTTATATAATACAATTCTGATTTTTCGGCCTTTTTTTTTTAAGTTTTCATATTTACTAATTTTGGTTCCCACATTGATTTTCTCATTTTTGGTTCCCACATTCATTTTTACTCATTCCTTGGTAGATTTTTGAGAAAAACCCGACTACCATCAAGAACTATGGGATTTGGCTGAGGTACCAGAGCCGAACGGGCTACCACAACATGTACAAGGAGTACCGTGACACCACTTTGAACGGTGCTGTCGAGCAAATGTACACCGAGATGGCTTCCCGTCACAGGGTCCGTTCCCACTGCATCCAGATCATCAAGACTGCCACAATCCCGGCCAAGCTCTGCAAGAGGGAGAGCACGAAGCAGTTTCATGACTCGAAGATCAAGTTCCCATTGGTGTTCAAGAAGGTGAGACCACCCACAAGGAAACTCAAAACCACGTACAAGGCATCCAAGCCCAACTTGTTTATGTAAGGATGGATAATTTATGCATTTTTTGTGTTTGCTGAGACAGAGAGAGAAAAGCATTACGAATCGAGCTTCTGGATAAAATTTCAGTCTTTCTTGAATGAATTGTGTTTGGTTTTTGTTTTGGGGTGGCCCGACGATGTGGACCTGAAATTTTGGAGAAATTTTTTCATTTTAGAGAAATTTGAATGAATCGAGCTTATGCATTTTAGCTTGCTTTGATTTCAAATTGATAACCTTTATGGCGACGATTTGAGAATTTGATCATTGGTTTGTTTTTCTTTCGTTCCTTATCATTTTAATTAGATTTGTTTAGCAAATTGATGCACAAAACACGGGTCTATCCTTCGATAATGTTCTATACGAGATGGGAAAAGATAGTTTTATGTCAGCAACAGAAGCCAAAATGAAAGGACCTCCTGTAGCCCTCTCCTGTAAGTCGAGCGACTTCGTATCGGTACAGGTGTTCAGTCCGTTCGTGACTCAAACTGATGTAACAAAGACATGCCGTCTGTGGGAAGTGTCAATATTTTACTGGCTATAAGGGGCTGACAATATTCTCACAACCTGAAAATCCAGAAGGTTGTTCGGAAAAAAGTTTATCACGTTTGTGATTGTGTGAATTATTTTGGTAGACAATGTCAGACTTGTACGCTAAAGATTTCATTCATAAATTTAGGAGTCGGCTGTGGGTTGTTTCAACTGTTCGATTCAGCTCAGTTCATTTGATAAAATAGCAGTTAAACAATTTGAGATACTCGTGAGTTCGATTTAGCCTGGCTTATTTAATAAAAAAATAGAGTTTGAGCTCGTTTAGTTGACGAGCCGAGCTTAATCCAGTACGTCACGTCTCGAGAAATAGGATTTTTACGTAATTTATTGCACTATATCATTAAATTTAAATTCAACTCGATAATTTTAATAAATGAATCTAATTCCAACCGATGCTTGCCTCAATAGAGCGTTTATGGAGACGACTATATGTCCAAACTATGGCTGCAAATGAGTCGAGCGGCTCGTGCTCGGTCAAAGCTCGACTCGAGCTCGAGTTTGATTGAACTCGAGTCGAGCTAGAGCCCATATTTTGCCTTGTCGAGCGACTCATCGAGCAGCTCGAGATATACGTTAATTACTAAAATACCTCTTATTATTATATATATTAGTATAGGTGCTTAATAGTAATTTTACCTAATTTTCGAGCCGAGCTCGAGCATTTTGATTTCGTGTCGAGCTCGAGCTATTGTAATTTTTTATCGAGTTCGAGCAGCTAAAAAAAAACTCAATCCTGCTCGATAAGGCCAATGCTCGACTCGGCTCGTTTGCCGCCCTAGTCCAAACCAAGGTGACTAGGTGAGAACCGCTATTTACGAAACTTAGTGGGGGAGAAAACGAATTATGCAAACCACTGAAACCTTTGCGGAGACCAGCCCTCGGAGATATCCATATTTCCAAAACAAACCCCGACATTATTCTCCTCCAGGTCCTTCTACCACAAACAGGGAGACAGCCATGGCGGAAGAACAGTCGAAGGGCGCGAAGAAGCGAACGGTGGATTCGTTAGGATGGCTGACGGAATCCTCCATCATGCCCCGCAAGCAACGCGCCATCGAAGGCGTCGGAGCTTCTTCTATCCTCGAGCTCAAGGCCCAGCTCTACAGGTCCCAGGAGGAGTCCAAGCGCAACCCCAAGGAGCACGTAAACGCCGCCGATCACAACCACGTCCATCATCTGGAGGTCCAGCGCGCCAAGAAGAAGATCGCCGCACACGATTCCTTCTCCGCCAAGAACTCCGGCGTCGATTCCCGTGCCGCTAAGTACGTCAATTTTCATTATTGTTTATGCTCGTTGAAGTTATTATTGATTTGGGTTAACCGTTGTGTTGGAGACTTGGAGTCTTGGTGATAATGACGGTGGTAAGAAAAAAATTCGTGCCATTTTTGGGTACATTGATGTTGTCAATAGGGTTCTAGGGTTTCGGCAATTGGGGATTTCTAATCTACAAGAATTGAGTGGACCTTCGTCCCCCTTTTGAGAACTTTGGGTTCATTCTGAATGAAGGGCTCTCAGTTGATTGCCATGTCTAGCATGAAAATCTTGTTTTTGCTATTTGCTTGATCAAAAATATGTTCTTGAAAGTGTTGCTTAAATTACCTGAAGATCTTATAAAGGCTTTCTACACTTGCTTCTTGAACATTTAAGGGTCTCGGGTATGAGAATGAAATGTATCTTAAATTGTAGAAAATGTATGTAAGGATTAGATCATACAGATTGGCAAAACATTTGCTCTTGGTTGAGTTTGTCGATTGAAACCTTTTATCGTCATTTTCAGGGACAAGCTTGAGCTAAAAGCTGTTCGGGATGGATCAGCAAGCTATGCAGCATTGGAGAGAAAAGCAGAATTATATGATAAACTGGTGAGAGGAGAATTGTCTGATGAAGAAGATCAGGAGAAGTACTGTGTTGACTTTTTCAGGAAGGGTCTAGAGCAGAACAAATCTCACGTGCCTCAAGAAGCTGATGCCTTTACACCACAATCCCAAGACATAGATAAGGAAAATGATTTATTGATAAACAGTACAAAAGCTGCAGGTCTTGGGCGAGCATCGGCTACGATGGACAGAAGTCAACATAAGCATTTTGTAATGTAAACTCTCTGTCACCTCTGGCTGGCATTCTATGCTTTATTTGTTGCCTGGGCTGTTAACAAACCAAACGTTCGCAAGCAAAAAACTTGGTTGAGCTCGTTCGTGTTGGACAAAAGCTCGTTCCCTTGTTAATCGAGCCGTTTCGAACAGAAAATTAAGCTCGTTTAATAATCGAACGAACACGAGCTCGTTCGATAATGTTCGCGAACATTAATTTAATATAATTTTATTTTATTTTTTATATATTTGCACAATATTTTTAGTAAAAATCTAAAATATATTTTTTTTAGTTCAAACCAACAAATTTCATGTGAATCAAACATATTTGAAAAGTTTATGTCCTAAATTATTCGAACTCGAACTTTGATGAATAGTTAAACGAACGAGCTCAAACATGATTTTGCTCGGAAAATAAACAAACGAACACGAACACTGTTCGAACGTAAATGAACACGAGCTTGAACAGCCCAAGCTCGGCTCGTTCGGTTCGATTACATCACTATATGTTGCATTGATGTTTTTTTTTTTTTTTTNNTTCCTCCGTATTCTCCTAAAAGACTTGATTGTTTGGTGCTAAGGGCCTTTAGGATAGAGTAGGTCTCTGGTTTTTGATCGGGTCCCTTTTGTTTGTTCTGTAATGAATTCTTTTCATGATATTACGATAACTTCTTCGTGCTTTACTATGATTTTGCACCATTTCTGGATCTATTTTTCGGCCACTGGTCACTGTGGGATTTCTAATTTTCCTATACGTGTCTGTATTCATATACTTGAAAGGTAGAGTGTCAGTAAGAAGCACAGTTCATGTATATGCTTCCTTTCTCAGGGAGGTTCATGAAGAAGCAAATCATGCTCGGGAAAAAGTGTCTGAGCTCAAAATGCGCAGACAAGAGCAAGCTGCTGCTCGGAGAGAAAAATTGAAGCAGGCTTACCTCCGAAAGCAACTTGAGAAGTTGAAGGCAACTAAAGCTGAGCAGACCTGAGTTGCAGGTGATTATTTGCAATTTGATCCTTTTGTAGTAATTACTAATTGGGAGTTTCACTTACAATAGTTGTAGTTTTAAGTTCCAACTATCTCCTTTTTGTGTCCTGATCATTTTTTTCTCATTTTTTTTTTCTAAACGTATGTGCTGCTTTATGTAAATCGATGATGCTTTTATCGGCTGATTTGAAACAGTGTAAATTGCGTGTCGTGATCTCCTTCTGTTCGGGTCAGACTTAATTGTTTTTAGCAATTAAGAAATGTGCGGTTTGATTTTTAGTTTTTCACACTTCTTTTGTCAGTAACTCAAAATTCACAAACTGTTGCATTCGTAACCATTGGGTCTTTTTTATCTTCAGGCGCGCGATGAGTGTAAAATTATGCAAAATCAGGTCAAAGGAGCTTTGGCAAATTAATGTACTGTCTGCAAGTCAGCCGAGTCGGATTACTGAGAGTCTCCGAGGCCGGATTAGGACCAAAAGTTGTGTTCTGACTGCTACGAGGATTTTAATTTTTTGTTAGGGTAGTATTTATGTATCTTCAAAACAAAATTTTTGTAGGGAACTGATGCAGCAGATTTTTTTTTTT